AAACTGCTTCTTCAATATCTCTCCAGTTTCAGTTTATTTTTGTGAGGAGAAGTACTTTTAAAGAAGCCAGTTATAAATTTGACAGTAAAAATTTAATCCACAGACTTTGTAAACATCCAGACGTCATATAATTTTTGTATCTTTAGTTTTATTGTGTGGACCACTGGGACAGTAATAAGCTATGACATGCAGCCTGAGTCTTCAATAATAAAACTCCTTTTTTAAAACAATAGTTCTAGCAAACATACATCTAGAATATGTTCTCCAAATTTATTTTACCTTTAGTTTCTTCTAATTTTAAGGTAGTTTTATTAGTTTGCTCATACCTCAGAGAAGAAATACTATTACCAAGAAATACTGTTACCATGTAGTAATATGTATTGTTGATAGTAGTAGAATTTTAAATTGTAAATGATCCTTAATTTCATTTTATTTTCATGGAATTAATATTTGATCTGTGTGGCTAGAAATGTATTAATCTGGTAATTAATGTACATTATACCAGAAACCTTCTGAAGCATTTTTGGGACATTCTAGTAGGTGTTATAAATAGTGCAACAGATTTTATGTATTTTTTATATCTACAAAAGAGTTGGCATATGAAAATATGTATTTCATAGTATTTCTTCATGAACTAGTTCATTTGTTACACTGGCAGATGTTGGTGTCATCAGCGACTTGAAATACAAAAGGGATGTTCTACAGGACATCCTTAATAGGGTTTTTAAGGATCTTTTGATCAATAAATCAGTTAAAAGTTTGGCATTATTTAGAGGTGAAAAATTGAAGGATAAAACACCTTTGAAAAAGCTTAACTTTGTCTGACACTTTTAAATTATATTGTATCTTGGAGACAGAAGTTCTCTATCCACAATATGAAAGCATCTTATTATGCTTTACTTAGATGAGGTGGTTTCTCAATGTCTTCCAGTTGATTGAATGCATGGGTTCTCTGCCAGCCCAGCCCAGGTGGTGGCATTGGCATCTTTTTTGACAAAAGAATTTATTCACCTGGGTATGCACAGACATCTTACTACTAAAAATATATTACTGACTTTAGGCCAACATCTAGATGTTGTGGCTTTGGTTGAACACAGTTAAAAGGCATTATGCTGTCCCAAGTTCTGTCATAATCAAGCAACTAAGTCATGTTCACAAGTTGTTATATCCTAGATTTGGGAAAAAATGAATTAGGGAGGAATATAATATTTTTAGAAGATGGTAGCTATCCTGTGTTCCTACCTGGATGATCTTAAAACAAATAATGCTATTTACTGTAGAAAATCCAAGTGTCCAAGAAAGGTACAAAGAAGAAATCAAACATTCTGTCAAATATCACTCTCTTTCCTATAAAAACCCTCCTCAATGTCTTGTAGAATGTCTTCCTAGACTCCATTCTATATGTGTATATGTATGTGGTTTAAATGGTACTCCATATGTTATGTTTTGAATTTCTGCTTTTGATACCTAAAGTATCATATACATGACTTTTCATATCTAAGAAAATAAATATGTAAGTATATTATCCACTACACTTAGTTAACCTGGTTTATATATTTTTATAGACATTTAGGAATTTTTCTTTCATTTGAAATAAGTAGTTTGTGTAAAAATTTGTCAGATATATTTCTATAAGGGGAATTAGTTAGGGATGTGCACATTTATCATTTTGGTATATAGAACTATGTTGTTAACCCAGAAAATTTTTATTCCCAATTACAGTACGTAGGATTGCCTGTTTTTACTCTTTAGTCAACACTGAATGATATCCATCATCTTCATCTTTGGCAATCTGATTAATCACAGATAATATCTTTATTTTTAATTTTTGATAGTTTTATTGTATTCATGGCTTTAAATATTGATACCATATGTAATCTGACATATCCATCTTATACCTTATAATCCAGACTTGAAATATTCAACTACCTCTAATACTAGACATCTCGTAATACTTATTTGAACTTGTCCAAAATTGAACCCCTGATGCTTTACTCAACCTGGTTTCTTGCTGCTATTTGGCATATCTGTTAATGGCTAATCCATCATTGCATTGCCCAGATCACAAATATTGGAGTTGTGCTTACGTCCCTCCTCCTTTTTGTGTCTCATGCTTCATATATCTAGGTCCCTTCTTAAAACCTGTTCACTTTCAGAAGATACTTAGAATTCTACTACTTCTCTTTCATATATCTAGGTCCCTTCTTAAAACCTGTTCACTTTCAGAAGATACTTAGAATTCTACTACTTCTCTTCACATCTCTGACTGTCTCCTGCTGTATTGCTGTTGCTTCTCTGCTTTTTATTGTCCCCTACATTTTGTTGTCAACACAGCCTATCATGGCATCCTGTTAAATGTCAGGTGAATTGTGCCCATCATCTGCTCAAAACCCTGCAGAAAATTACGTCTCTCTCAGAATAAAAGACAGAATTCCTCCACTGGCCAGCCAGGCCATACATGATTTGCTTCTCCTCCTCAACTTCTCTCATTCTTCTGACTGTATCTCCCCATTCTCTGCTTCTTTCACATGGCTCCAATCACACTAGCTTCCATGATGTTTCCTGCCTAGGGCACCCAAATACCTGCCCTTGCTCCGTCACATCCATCAGATCTCTCATACATCACCTTCTCAGCTAGAATTTTCTTGACTACCTATTTAAAATAGCTACCAAATACTCTGAAATATTTGCTGTCTTCTTTCTTGCTTTATTTTTCTCCGTCACATTTATCCCTTTCTAATATAGTACATACTTTTTCATTTATTTATTGTCTTTCTCCCCCTGCTACTGTAAAAGCTTTGTGATAGCAGGGACAGTCTTTTTGTTTCATGGCTGTATGCTCAGCATCTAAAATAGGACTCACTAGTGCAGGCATGAAGTACATAGCATAGACCAGGCACAAAATAAAATGATGAATGAAATTTTAGGAGTGCAGTTTGGAAGGGAGTCCCTTTGTCCGTTTTCATCTTTTCTTATTAATATGCTATAACTTCTTAGCAACATTACACTTTTGTTTTATGTTGCAGATATTTGCTTTATCATCAAAGATTTTTGCTTTGCAGCTTTAACTGTATTTATTTCTCTCATCTCAATGTATGGTTTTCTACCTTGCTTGGAAAGCCTTTCCAGACTCAAAAGTTATTTAAAAATTTACCTAGAGTTTCTTCTAGTGTATTTAAAGTGTTATTCTTCATTTTAAGAGAAATACCTGAATTGATTTGCAGTTTCTCTTGCTGTACGGTGAGTAGTAGACCCAACTTTACTTTTTCCTGAATATCTAGACATTTGCCTCAAAGCCATTTACTAAACTTTCTACTCTTTTCCTGCCAATTTTAAATGCCGTATTTTTCCTGTACTAAATGTTCATGTGTTTTATATAATACAAGAAACCTATTTGTTTTTCTGTATAATTGATCTATATATTTCCATACTGTCATTTTCATTTCTGTGGCTAAATAGCACATTGGATTATCTGTAATTTATCCTTGACTTTTTTTTTTTTTTTTGAGATGGAGTCTCACTTTGTCACCAGGCTGGAGTTCAGTGGCATGATCTTGGCTCACAACGACCTCCAACTCCCTGGTTCAAGCGATTCTCCTGCCTCAGCCTCCCAAATAACTGGGATTACAGGCATGTGCTACCATACCCAGCTAATTTTTCTATTTTTAGTAAAGATGGAATTCCACCATGTTGGCCAGTATGGTCTTGATCTCCTGACCTGGTCTGCCTGCCTTGACCTCCCAAAGTGCTGGGATTACAGGCATGAGCCACCATGCCCAGCCCTATCCTGACTCTTAAATATCTGTTCTTTCACAACTATGCTTTCTCTGTATCTTTCACAACTAAAACCAAACAGGAAAATGTCATTCTCACCAACCTTATGCTAATAGGTTATGCTTGTATCTTTAATATTATGTCTACTAAACTAAGAAATATATAAATTAATAGGCTACGAATAAAGTGACTTTTCTTTAAATTACTTTTTTTGTTTTTATGTCACATTTATTACAAAAACCTGTTTATTATATGATTTGTTTTACGTAATATGAGATCATAATTCAATTTTTGGTATTCTTTATGCATTTATGAGACTTATCCTGACATCTATAGTAGAATAAGATTTTATTTAATGATTTGTGCCAAATGGGTTTATACTGATATGTAATATAGAAGAGGTGGAGTGAGCAGCTTTTGCTTTATTGTTTTGGTTTTGGTTTCGAATTTTAGATCTAGTTAGTGGCTTTTCATTGTTTCTTGTTTGTCAGTATATTTTTATTTCTTATGTGACAGGATGCTTAATATCATTTGGGGGATCTATGCTGTTTGACCTTCACAGGTTACTGCAGCTTTTTGAACCTTAGTTTTCTCATTTGTAAACTGGAGTCAGTAATAGTGTTTTATTAATCCAGTTACTGTTGTAATTAAATGAAATGATTTATGTAAAGTGTTTAGAATAGCATTTGACACAAATTATGTATTTAATGAATGTTGTTAATTAGGGTGAGTTATCACATGAATAAGCGCTCTAGTGTAATTTAGGGGAAAAGCAGCACCTAGGAGTAAAAATTATTTGAAATGATTCAGTGAAGTTGAGAGAAAAGGGTGAAATTTCACTTTTAGTAATTACCTTTAGCTATATTGCAAATGTTGTACCAGCAGAGTAAAAGCCTAGCGAGTGACAGAGGTGGCTTAGTTTTCAGAGAAAGTAGACACAATTTCACTGTAAAGTAGGCCCTGAGAAATCTCTGTGTGTATTCAGATTAGCAATTTGAGATAATAGGAATATTTTTTATGATTTATCAAATTAATTATGTGAGCATTTGAAAGTTATTTTTTTCTCTTGCAAATGCAACATATTTGTCTTTACAACTTTTTGGTGGAAGAATGGCACTAGAAGAAACAGATATTGTCTACCTTCCCTTCTCTCCTCTTTCACATCATGAATCCAAGCTCCACGAGTCCATTGTAATGATTCCTGACTCAGTGTCTTTCCTCTGCAGACCCACTCTGAAGAGAGACCATTCCAATGTGAAGAATGTAAAGCTTTGTTCCGGACCCCATTTTCTTTACAGAGACACCTGCTAATACACAACAGTGAGTCGCAATTCAGGCAGTTGAGAACATAAGGAATCATACTTTGTTATTATAACCTTTGAGAATGCAGACATCCCAGAAGTGTGCCTCTAAGTATTTATATAATCTCACTTTAAATGTAAGAAAGGCCAAAAATTCTGCCTTTCACCTTTTTTCCCTTTGTATTTGCATTAGTTTTCCACAGTAAGATTATTTTATGAGACATTTCATTTTATATAATTTCTTCCCATTATTTAAAGTTTGTATATAAAAGCATTTTCCATATTGAGAAAGATATCTTTGAGTTTTGTTTTGAAACATGTTTTTGTTTCCTTTCAAATATAATTAAGAAAGCATTTCTGACTCTTTAAATATGCAGATATCTGGCATAGTTTTATTAGCTCACAAACTTTTCAAGTGGAAAAGGATCAGAGTGACTGACACCTTAATTTGAGGGGGGATACAAATATTGAGTCTCAGAAGTACCATGACATACTCAAGATTTCACAGTGCAAGGAGTAGCAAACAGGTCCCTTATAGGTGCTTTTCCTACTTACCGCTGCCTCAGATTTCTTCCTTTGGCAGGGGCAACTATTTTCTTTTGGATTAACTTTTATACATACACACCATGAGGTGTTTTTCCTACTTGCTACTACCTCAGATTTCTTATTTTTACAGGAGCATTTTTTTCTTTTGGATTAAGTTTTATACATACACACCATGAAAGTCTAACACCTACACTCAGAGCTCTTTTTACAACACCACAGAATGCCCAGTTATATCACTAAAGTATGTCATTTTATAGAGAAGAACATGTTATTGCCAAGCTGAGTTTTAAAGTGGGTTCTCTGTTTAGATACTGAAGTAGCCAGAGACTTACTACAGTTACTGTATCTAAAATTAATGAAAAAATTGTGTAACATGGGTAATATTTATAATTCTTACTTTTAATTAGCTTAATCATTAGAAAATCTTCTATACACATGAAGTTCCTGCTGCTGCTTAAACTTTTAATATTCCTGAGGAATGAAAAAAACAATTAATTGTGACAGTTGGTTATACAGAGCAGTATCTTGGAGAAATTTTCACTTGTCAAGTGTCTAAAATGAAAAATAATAAAGGTGCTAAGATTTCTTAAATATTGAGTGGTAATGATTCTGATGAAATGCAATCTGCTTCCTGCAAAAAAAGGTAGTGTTATTCTCTCAGACCATTCTGTGTTCAGCTGATAGCTCTGAAGAAGTTATTAGCACAATTTACCATTTTTCCTATATATAAAAAAAGAGCTATGTATTCAAAAATAAAATTTGTCGTGCAATTGCAGGGATTTCTTTCCTATTTTATTACCATTTTGATTTAGGAAAATAACTGTTATGAGATGAATGAATGTTAGAATAGAGATTTAGACAAGTTAACCTCATTCATGCTATTAAAACATGGCTAAATTTGACCTGATGCTTGGGAAAATTTGCTTGGGAATGATTAAATTTTATTTCTAATAACACCAATGAATTCTTAACAGAAGTAATCTGATATCTTTGCTTTCAGTTTTTTGGTTCTCATTCACTTGAGAAATAGAATTAAAGTGACTGTGTGTGGACTGTGCTGTGTAACATGTGTTTAATATGATGTTGATCAGCACATTAATCATAGGCTTTATGAAGCTGCATCGTTGCATTTGACCAAGAAAATCTACTTTGATAATTGAGTGAGTAAATGAGTTATTTAAGGGAAACAAAGTTAGACATTAGTTAGTGAAAAGAATGGGAAAACCAGAAATGGCTAACAGAGAGAGGACAAAATAGTAGATCTTGTCTTATACAATATGAAAATTAAAACCCATTTATTTAACTTCAAAATATGAAAGCTGTTATTAGAAACTTATATTAGCTTTCTGGCTCAAAATGTGAAGAATAACTTGTAATACTTTTGGAAATTTTTGCTATTTCCCAGTACACTGAAAACCAAAAAGGAAGTTGCTGGCTAGCTTCCAGGTACTAAGATAGGGAAAAATTCTGATAAATTTAACACAAAGAAATCTGCAATTAAAGTATGAAAGAAGAAAAGTAAGGACTTCCTTGATATAGCTTGATAAGATTTTGGACAGAGACCAACATTTTTATTCACTTAATAGTTTAATAGGAGCAATCTTGGAGGGTTTTTTTTTTAAATCTTTTTCAGTACCTGAATAGATTTGATATTAACATTAACATTTACAGTCTTATATCAATTGATATTTCCTTATGCTGTCACTCATTATACATCTTATACAAGCAAAATATTTTAATGAAACAAAAAGAATATAAAGCAGTTTACAAGAATAGTACTCTGCAACAAAAATGCACAAATAAACAAAGCTCTCAAAATCTATCTAGTTCATGTGTTGTATGAATGTGACTTTGTTTCAGACATTAAATGCCATCAGACATTAAATGCCAAAGGAATCTGAGACTTTAAGTTAGAGAGCTGTAACTCTATTTAGAAAGACAAAGAAAAGGTAATTTTTCTTTTCCTTTTTTCTTCTTTTTGTCCCTCCCTCCCTTCCTTTCTTCCTTCCTTTCATGTGAAGAAATAATAGGTTCTTCTCAATTCAGTGCTAGTTATGATGGAAGGAATTTAGAAGAGCTTGCTAAAATTGAGATAATCTCTTATTTAAATGTAGAAATGTAATTATTCTTAATTTTGCCTTGTAATCTATATGATATGGAAATCCATGCTAACATGATTGTTTTCTAAAAAGGGAAATTATGTTCAAATACTAGTCTGTCTTGTTTATATAGTCACATACTACATGCGTTTTATACTTATTATTATCAAACATTGTGTTCTAATTGTGCACATGTATCGTTGAAATTGTATTTAAAATGGTGACTCAAACTTAGGCCTATGTGTTAAGAAGAACTATAAAAATGGCGTTATATGAAAGTTAGAAAGTACTATAAGATTTCTATATATAGCTTCTGAGGTTGTTTTCCCCTCAGGCTCAGGCTGGATAATGAGAAGAAAGTGAAATAGCCAGGGTGGCTGCTAGTCTTCATCGCCCTATCCCAATTTAACTGCCTCTCTGAAAGACCCCCATCCCTCAAAGCCTTGGAGACTTTTTAGAACTGCCCAAGGGCTGAGTCAGGGAACCCCCAGTCCAGGTTTCTGAGTCAGTGCTGAGGAAGCAGGGGCATTGCAACCCTTTCCCTCTTCCAGAATGGGAGGCCCTGAGCTCTGACGCACGCTTTCCTGCCCTCAGAGGCATTCTTCCTCAGCTCTCTACCTACAATCCAGTTCTGCCTATTATCTATTTACAGGAGATCATAGGGACAGTGGTGGGATTTGAGGGGACTTTGGGAGGGGCCCAAAGGCTACTCACCTTGCTTGACAGTGGCCTTGTGCCACTGGAGTCTGTTTACCTCAAATCCCAGCCCCTGCTGTAGAAGTACGTACTTCTAAAAAATGTTCATAGTAACTTTGGACAATTTGCTAATTCAGTCCCCAAATTTTCCAGCTGAGATGATGGAAGATGTAAGATGAAAGGACTTTGGCCTGAATTAGGAAATAATGGAACTGGAATTTGTTGTTAAAAATAATATGTTAAATTCTTAGAGCTGTAAAGCCAACATTTTGACAAAAGCAACTAAGTCTGGCATATATGGGAGGAAATTAATAGACCCTCCTATTGCTTCTGAAATGTTTTTCTTTGTTTCTAAGGTGAGAGGACTTTCAAGTGCCACCACTGCGATGCTACCTTTAAGAGGAAGGATACATTAAATGTTCACGTCCAGGTGGTTCATGAAAGACACAAGAAGTATAGGTGTGAGCTATGTAATAAGGCCTTTGTTACACCTTCAGTGCTTAGAAGTCATAAGAAAGTAAGTGGAAGTCTTCTGTTAGTTTGAATGGATTGTGTATTTAAGCAATATTGGGCATATATGTTAACTATCATGTGATAATTATAAATTAATCTATCAAAGTATTTACTCAGAAGGACAAATGCATGATTTATATCAGCTCTTCAGGAAATGTTCACTTTCTTTATCTTTCAGGATAGACCTATATTTTTTCCATGAATGAGAACCTGAGTTAGATGTAGACTCTTTATAACCCATAGCTTTGCTGATAGGTGGCTTCTAGAAAGTACTCAATGAGCAGGAGCTTATCAATTTTTATATATTTTTGGATTAATGTAGGCTATTTCTTTCAAAGAAATATGAGTGGCACCTTAATAATTTTATTTTTCAAAGCGAATTCTTATGTTTCTTGGCAGTTTAATAGACTGAGCCCTTTTTGGATTGGGATAGTCATTGATCTTTACCTCTCTAGAGCAAAGGGAAGTTTCTGGGCATAGAATGGGGACTCCATAAATATTTGATTAACTCAAAATGTTTATATAGTGATTTTGGAGCTTATATTTTCGTGTTTTAAGCTACTTGCCTAATTACCTCAAAGAAATCAAGTTTTTTACTTGTTCAATAATGTATTTTTAAGTATATAAGTAAAATAGTAAAATTTGTGTTATAACAAGTACACCTAAAGGTTTTAATGTTGACTCTTTTTTCTTATTTTGGAGACAAAGTCTCGCTCTATTGCCCAGGCTGTAGTGCAGTGGTGTCATCATAGCTGAGTGTAACCTTGAACTTCTAAACTCAAGTGATCCTCCTGTCGTAACCTCCTGAGTAGCTGAAACTACAGTCATGTCTCACCATGCCCAGCTAATGCTTTAAAATTTTTGTAGAGACAGAGTCTTGCTCTGTTGCCCAGGATGGTCTTGAACTCCTGGGCTCAAGCTATTCTCCTACCTCAGCCTCTGAAAATGCTAGAATTACAGGCATGAGCCACTGCACTCAGGCAGCATTAACCTTAGAAGTAACAATGAAGTATGGTAATTTTTTGTCATTAGTATGTGCTACTGAATGAATGTGAAGAAATAACTTCTGCTTCAATATGAATTTAATTTTCATATTTGTCCTTAATACAACTGTTTCAAAAGGCTTGAATTGAGTAACTGTCTTTTCCTGTTTCTTTTTAATTTTTATGGGTACATAGTAGGTGTATGTAGTTATATACATGAGATATGTATGTATACATAGTCTGTTTTTTTGAGGCAGAGTCTCACTCTGTCACCCAAGCTGGAGTGCAGTAATGCCATCTCGGCTCTCTGCAACCTCTGCCTCCTGGCTTTAAGTGATTCTCAAGCCTCAACCTCCCAAGTAGCTGGGATTATAGGTGCTGCCGCCACGCTTGGCAAATTTTTTGTATTTTTAGTAGAGATAGGGTTCCACCATGTTGACCAGGCTGGTCTCAAGCTTCTGACCTCAAGAAATCTGCCCACTTTAGCCTTCCAAAGTGCTTGGATTATAGGCATGAGCCACCATGGCTGGCCTGAGATATTATATTTTGATACAGATATTCAATGTATAATAATCACATATAGGGTATGTGGGTTCTTATATTTTTATTGCTGAGTAATAACGATATTATCTGTGTTTAGATTTCTGAATAAAATATAGTCTTTCAACTTTCTTTGCTTGAATTACATTTTTGCATGAATTTAACACAATTTTTGTCATCTTTCAATAAATAAAGGAAAAGTATAGTGAGCTTTCAAGAGAGATTTCTTCATTTGTCTGCAAGAGTAGTCACACAGTATATTTTGTAATATATTGCTCATTTTAATCTCATACATTTCTCCAGTATTGTTCTTAAAGTGAGCTGTTTCCATGCTTTCTTATCCATATTTAAGGTAGTTTAGTATTGTAACTTTAATATCTTTTGAAACTATCTAACCAAAATTAGAACCTAATAATATGGTATATTTTTGAGTTAAATGAAAGGAATATTTTATTTTTTTTCATTAATATAACCCTAATATCTTTTAGTTTGGAAGTTCTTCAGTTTGGAATCAATGACAGTTATGTAAATGAACAGTGAAATACATAGCAGCAAAAGAAATGCTGTGATTTTATAAATATACTACAAATAAATTAGTAATTACATGTTTCGAATAATTCAGTGTTGTAACAATAGATATATATACAATTTCTAAACAGCCTCACACCAATTAATAAAAAATTACTACATTTTGCACCTTCTGTTAGGTAATGAAAGGTAGAGAGATCTGTTATATGTTAAAATTTTATATATTTTACTTTAAATTGAACCATAATGTGGACCAGGGGAGTAAAGGCTTTTACTGAAGTGTAAAGATATATAACTGTTTTGTATAAGAACTTGTAGTAAAAATGGAAAGTTAAGTAGTTGCCAAATACAAAATCCAGGAGATGCTTGTTGTACACAGTGTCCTTGGCTAGCATGGTAGTTGATTCGACTGTGTTTTTCAAACTTGAGTGTAAAATAAATTGTTTCAAGGAAAAAAATTCAAAAGACCCTGAAATTGACTGAGGTATTTAGTTTCTAGCTCTTTAAAAAATTACAAATATGGTAGTGCATATCCAAATATACATTTTAATACAAATTGCAAATTTGTAAATTAAATATTAATAAGGCCGCAAAGTCTATTACTTTAATGTTAACAATTTAATATGGAAGATAGACATATTTTGCTATGGCGATGGTTCTTTGATGTTTTCAGGTGATGCGGTAATTGTCCCACTCCTTTTCTCTATAACAGCCAGTATTTTCTTCTGAGAAATGTCATTTTAAAAAACCTTTCTTTATTCTTGTTTCATTAGCCTATGGCAGTTCAAATACTACCTGTCAGTAATTTGCCTTTACACTACTAAGAGCAAGAATTTCAGAACAAGAAATCTAAAAGTAGTCTTAGAATATGTACATGCCTGAAGGAATTGCTTTCACTTCCCCTTTTCCCCAGTCTTCTAAGTTTGAGAAACACTGGGACTTGAGAAATAGCTCTGACCCTTCATTTATTGGAATGATCTGTTTTGATGTTGGGAGAAAAACTGGTCTTCTGATGAGGCTGTGAGGCCAGTTTAAAACGTTCCATCTTCCTCCTCTTTTGGAGAGAGATCACTCTTTTCTCTTTGAGCTCACCAGCTTTTATTGTAACTTACTTTTGACTGTATGTATTCACCTTTCCTCGTGTGATTGTGCCTAGATTAAAGGCATCTTGAGGACAGAAATATGCTTTCAAATTGACTGCTCAGTTAACACCTGCTGATTTGAAAAGTCAAATCAGATGTATATTCCTTTTTGCTTTGCAGTAAAACCAGTCTAGTCAAACAGCATAACACTAGTAACAGATGACTTTACTGAGATTAATTCTGTCCTCAAGTGTTAAATATACACAAAGAATGTGAAAAATGCTTCAAAGTAAGTGTTTCTTGGCAGCCAGGAAGGGTAGCTATACCCCTATTTTGATTATGTGGTTTTACTAGAATATACCGGTTTTATGTAATTTAATCATTTTCAGTTGGAGCTCTTCGAGGGCTTAAAAAAGTAAACTGCAGAACAATTTTGAAATTAACACTAATACATGATTCTAAGTCATTTTTTGAGCCAATGGGACTATCCATCATAAATTGTTTAAAACTTCATTGTGAAATTAAATCATTTTAATGAAATGTAATCCTAGAAAATAAGGATTTACGATTGTCAGAGGCATTTAATCATCTTTACCTAACTCTTTGTATTTATTCTTAGTCATTTTATCCCTTTCCATTTAGACACATACAGGAGAAAAGGAGAAAATCTGCCCATACTGTGGCCAGAAATTTGCCAGCAGTGGTACACTCAGAGTTCATATCCGGAGCCACACAGGTATGGAGACTGTAATTAGACTAGTGATAAAAACTACTTAGAGAAATCACATGCTTCCAAGACAGGAAATATTGTATTAGCACAAATATCTTCCATATTAAGAATTAATCTTGACTGTTTTCTCTCTCTTAAAGCATTGTAAAATCCAGTTTTTTCATCTAGAAGAATTTACAATAAGTATATTTTCTCAAACTAAGTAAAACATGTAAAGTAGAAATAATATTTTTAAGGTTTGGTTGTGATAAAACTGTGATTAACTTCTATACGATTCTAATGGACGGAATTAGAGTAACAGTTTCACTTTTTATAGATAGTTAAGGGCGTCGACTTGATTTATAATCCTTCCTGTAACTCATGTCAAATGTGGCCTTTTTACCTCAGAACGTTGCTTGGATGCTGTAGGATTTTATTGGATACCAGGGTGGGTGATGTGAATGTAATATCTGTTATGTCATGGATTGCTTCCTAAAGGGCCGCCTTCTTTTCTTATGGGTGGGTGATGTGAATGTAGTATCTGTTATGTCATGGATTGCTTCCTAAAGGGCCCCCTTCTTTTCTTACCACTTCCTGTGTAATTTCTCCAGTGAAAGAAATCTGTGTCCTAGTGAAGGGTGAATGAACAACTAAATATTCTTGAAAGAACCTTGACTGGATTTTACCTATCACGTAGATAAGCCCTTGAAAAAGACTTCGAAGAATACAGTCAGTTTTGATAACCAGATGATTTTACATTAGTCTGGAAACTTTTTCCAGTAGCTAGACTCTAATTACATGAAGAACTAGGTGACTGGATTATACCGCTGAAGCTTCGTCTTTAAGGGCCATAGTATTTGGCTTTCTTTACCTTTGTATCCCCAGTACCCACCTCAACGTCTAGCCTAATAACTGTACGTATTGTCAATGGAGAAATGTTAAAGTAGGCCAAAAAATCAATACAGTGAATGTTAGGTATTAGTGGATGAAGGGGTAACCTTGGAGCATAATTTTTAACTTTCTGACTAAAGCTAAAAGAACAGATAGCTGCGGAATAATGGGTGCTCTAAAGAAGAAAAGGAAGGTTTTTCTTAATTAGAAGTCATCTAGAGAAAGTGAGGCTTTCGGAATCCAGTGTTGTAGAAGCAGAGAGCAGCAAAGTGAAAAGCAGAGAGCAGCGCATGGGAATGAGCAGCAGAGAGCCACGTTGAGGGCAGGTGTAGTTAAAATTGTGCTAATGGCCGCTGGCACCAGGAACTGATAGCACAGAAGTAAGGAGCGAATGAAGAGGAAATAGAGATTTCTGAAGTTCCTGGGCAGCTCTGCAATCTAGTGGTATAATCCTTGATGTCATTGGGCAGTCCTGTTTTATGTGTATTTGTGGCTGTGTGGAGTTAGGATGGGGTAAGGGCAAGGGTAAAATCGACAGCCCTTTAGTCTGTTATCAGTGATTCTTAGAAGATATCTTTGTGTCAGGCTTAGTTTGCTTAGCAGATTTCATGCTATATTAGAGGGCATGTACATATAATTTGTATATGGGCGGAGGGCACATAGGGAATAGGATATGTGTATTATGTATACATATCAGAATAGTACATTTATAGTAATGCCCCAAGACATGATGTAATTGTGTTATGTTTGGTATAGTATGTTTTTAAAAGGCAGGGACTTACACTGTTTAGAATGCATTAAAACATAGGTACCAGCACAGAAAAGATGAACCCAATAAAGTAGAACCCTTGATTATTCAAAATAATTCCATCCTTGAGGATATTGAATGCCTACATTTTATTTTACCCATAGTACAGCTAGGCAGTAGAGAAGAATAAAGCCCTTACACTAGTAATTGTTTGTAAAATTTTAATTATTATTATCCTCCACAAAATTACAATAATAAGAGGATTTTTATAGTTCTAAAAATACTCCCTGATAAAACTATTAAATATACATCATGCTTTTTGTTGTTTTATGTTCTGTATTATATGTAATTTGAAGTGTATTCTAAACTCCACATCATTTTATGTGTCATTTGGTAATTTATTATGCACATGAGTCTGGGCCAAATGTTGTACAGATCCTGGTTTATTAAATGTGGCTTCTGATCAAGAAAACTGGTCATCTAAATTCAGACAGCAGTGCTAAGGCACAATGAACTAACACAATTTGATTGATAGATAGGTAAAGAAATTATATATAAATATATGTGTGTGTGTGCATATATGTGTGTGTGTGTGTGTGTGTGTGTGTATAGAGAGAGAGAGAGAGGGAGAAAGTGCTGTATGTATTTGTACAAAAATTGTATGATTCCAATTGTTTAGCTATTTACTCATAACTAGATTTTTCTGTTTAAAATAATTACTATACTTTCTCATTTTTTCTCATTTTACAGTTCTTCTTTGGGTTTTTTTGATGTCAAGCCTATGCCCTCAGTGACCCACTGCCTAGTAGTGTGGATGGGTTGTGTTGTTAGTGGTTGGTGTCTGGCATCTGGGCCTCCATAACAGCCCTGGCACAAATTTGTTTTCCTGCATGGACAAATGATGCTTTTGCTTCTCTTTGACTTATTTTGTCCTGTTCCTCAAATGATAAGCATCCATTTGCCCTCCCAAGCTACAGCCTGGTTCAGTAATGACATGGTTTTATGTAATTATTTCACTAGTAAGAGAGCAGAGCTCTGAATATTTTGATTCTGTAAATTCAGTGTTTTCTTCTCCCTGTGTTAATTTTCCTTATGAAGTCACCTGGTTTTATATAGCTGTTTCTCGCTGTTTCTCAGTGCTAGGTGTAGCAATTTATGAGTGTGCTATCACATGATAAAGATGATGGTCATGACCTATTCTTTAGGAAGTGTTTAGTTGTACATTATTTAGTGAGGACAAATGAAGTGGCGAGGACCATGAGTGAAGGCGGGGTAGGGACAGTCAGGAGAGGACAGCTGATGCAGCCTCTGTGGAGCAGTGTTCTTCGGATCAGTGATGCTCATGTTGTGGCCTTATCACTCCATAGCATTCTTAAAAATAATTGAGGACTTTGGAATGTTTTTGTTTATGCGGGTTATATCTATAACTCTTTGCCATATTAGAAATTAAAGCTATTTACCATATTAGAAAATGTAAAAATATTTACTTGTTAATTTACTAAAAATAGCAATATCATACCCATGAAATGTTAACATATGTATTTTTATAGAAAATATGTGCATTTGCCAAACTAGGAATCATTTAGTGTGAAAGGAGAAGTTGTTTTACATTTCTGAAAGTCTGTCTGGTTTAAGAGGAGACAGCTGGATTCTCGTATCTGTTTCTTCATTCATCCTGCTGCAATATGTTCTTTTGATTGTAGAATTTGAAGAAAATCTGGCCTCACGGATAAGTAGTTAGAAAGGGAAAGTATTTTAATAGTAGTCAAATAATTTTGGATGTTATTATAGTGGATGATATTACCTTGGATATTATTACTGCACTAAACCTCAAAAAGGGCTGATGTTTTTAAAGGCTTATTGTTGTGTGGAACCTAAAATTATCTCAGTGAGCTTTACTTATTCTGTTACAGTAAAATCAGTTGGTCTAAGAAAGATCTTTTACCCATGCATTATTCTGTAACATCATCATGTTACAGGTAATTTGGAAAATATTGACTCACTAAGTTATGCAGATCTTCTACTTTTTACTTTACAGGATGATATATTAATATCATTGCTGATCTCATTAAATCACCTAAATATTCAGAAGCCTTCAAACAATTGTTAGCATTCTAAATTTTTCTTGACTGCTATAATTCCTACCTTTAATAAGAATTCCTATCATTTCCCTTTTTTCTTTATTTTTTTTAAATGACAGGCTTACCTCTTTTATTTTCAAAGAACAAGCATTCACAAAATGTTTAATAGCCATAATTTGTCAGTCATTTTGTTTCATATAAAAATGATGTTTCATGAAAAAAACTGCCAGGTCATCTCATAACTCAGTTACTTAAGTGCTTTTCCTTGAGACAATTTTCATACGTCAGTATGCATTACAGGTACTTTACAAATATCAAAAATTGATTTTCAAATATCAAAGAGATTACACACAAAGGTTATAACTTAATAACATTAATATGTTTTACTTTATCACAGATATTCTCAAGTGAAATTTGCATTTATTTCTACTGTGAGTTTGTGGCTGTGAAGACTACAGTGACTAGTTATTACAAATTGAGATCACTAACAGTTACTAGTTTTACTCCCATTACTTTTATACTATTAGTGTAAATGTCAACATGGTGAAAAAGACAAATAATGTAATAGAAATATTATGAAAGTAGTTTTGACCTTGCAGACCTTGTAAAAGAGTCTTGGGGATTCCCAGGAGCACTCAGGCCATGTTTGGGGAACAAATACTCTTGAAGGGCCCTGGCCAATGATTAATACCTAGGAAAATGCAGTTTGTGTGAAATATGTGTTGGCCCATGTGAATAAGAGCCCAGCTGACAGGCCATTCTGTTTAACTGGGGCCATTTCTCTCACTTGATTTCTCAGACTGGTATTGCTTCCAATAGTTGCTGTGGCATTCTTGACAATAAATTTTTAAGCTTTTGCCACTGCTGCTGCTGCTGCTGCTGAAACATGTTAATGTCCATTGGCATTGCCTTTGCTGCAATAGTCAGTTGATGAGCAGGTTTGCCAACTTTGACTCTACTTTCGCATAGGAACTGTTCACTGTTGGGTTGATATTATTATGTTTATGACTGTAAATAGAAAAACATTAAGGCCTTCTAAATTTAGGCTTACTTGTAAATATATTATAGAACTTAACTCTAAAACTTGCCTGCAGATAGCGAAAGATAGAAATTTGATAAAAGATTATCCTATCAGTAAGGTTTTTGCTGATATTTGAAATTATATAGTCAGGATTCAGGGGACTCTGGGTTCTCATGAGATTAAATAACTTTCCCACCTAGAGAGTTGCCCTGCTTAGTAGAAACAGATCTTGGTGTTTCCTGTTATGCCCTCCTCTGCTGTAAGAGTCAGTCTTGCATAACAGAAA